TTTGCAGGAATGGAAGCGAGTACGACCAAAACTACAATGGTGTTATCTTAAATTCAAGGCAGAAAAATGACTTGATACAAGATCACTGGACTGGTAATAACAACCATGACAGTAGCTTCAAGTACAGTCATCGATCTGTCCGTGACCTTAATCTTGCAAAGATTAAGGAAGACCAGTCATCGGAATATTCTTTCCGGGGATTCACTGAAATGCTAAACAGTCCTAGCTCGAGTATCGGAGATTCTCATCCACAGTCAAAGGATTTGAATGATCTGAGTGAGAAGTTGTTGCTCCAGACTATATCTCCAAGTTTTCCAATGTTTTCATCAGCAGCAGAATTTTCCTGCGGCAGGGCTCAGAACTATTCCAGCTCCGGTGATGGTTTACCTAGCAGATCAGGGAGTTTCAGCCAGATATATCCTAGCATTAATATTTCTAATTTGAGCCAAGTTCCATCCTCCCCGTTCGAGATCTCGAGTTCGCTCATGAATTCACCGGCCTTGAATCTCTTATCTTCTGCAAGATTTAACAGCAGCTGCTTCACCCAACCTAATTCTTTTGCTCTCCATCACATGCATCATCAACCTTCTCCCACATCTAGTAGCAGCTCTAACAAAGTAAGTCCATCTTCTTTCTATATCGGAATAAACAACAGGGATAACATTCTCCATTTTTTAAAAAATCTCTTTACACCCGAATCAAGGTTTTAATTTCCGAGCTCTAACTTTTGGTATATACAGGAATATTAATAACTGTGAAAAAGCTATGATAAATAACAAAAGGGGTTACTTCAGCTTTAATCTTTGTTGGGTGCATATATCTTTAACAGAACTTGAGTGTGAAGCTCTTTTTTTTTCTCTTTTAAAAAGACATCTTTTTTTATGGTTATATTCAACTGATGATCTTTATTTTTTGGACTTCAAAGATATCATCATTCCCCGATGAAATAACAGACGCAAAGAGATCGCCGAGCAGTTTACCAGAACCCAATCCAACACAAGCGGCGGCTAAGAAATCTCGTGTGGAACCACGCAATTCCTGTCCACCGTTCAAGGTGGTTGATTAATCACTTGATTTCTTTTTACTCCAAATCATAATTTTAATTATTTATCTTTTTGTTTTTAATCTTTTCACTTAATTATGTTAAACAGGTTAGAAAGGAGAAATTAGGAGATAGAATTGCAGCACTTCAGCAGTTGGTTGCGCCATATGGAAAGGTAATTTTTTTAGTATATTTTTCCCTATACTTTAATTTTTTTTAATAAATATCATTATGAAAAAATATATTTATCAATTGTATTAGTAAAACATTAAACAAAAAATACAATAAAATTATGTCATTTTAATATATCTCAATTAAAAAATTAAAACATTCTAATTTTTAAAATATAAATGAGACATTTAATTTATCAAAATGACTTAGTTTAAAAACTTTTTCTTTTTCTTTTTCTTTTCTTTTTTATTTTTACAATCTGACTAATACACACTAATATTTGTCTTTTAAAGTTTTGATTTTTGAAAAATAATAAACAATAGATTAATTAGTGGGAAGCAATTAATGGTAAAATGACGTGGTATTGTTGGCTGTGGAGAATATTGCAGACAGACACAGCATCTGTACTAATGGAGGCCATTGGATACATCAAATTCCTTCAAAATCAGGTTGAGGTACTACTATATACATATATACATATTTCTATTCTTTCCAAACATTCCTTCTGAAGTCTGCTTTCTTATTATTATTTCATACTAGTGTGATATAGGCAGTAGTCGTTCTTTTGTACACATTATCTTATATAGTATTAGTCTGACACAATTAATGCTATCCCACCAAGCCGTCCGTCTATTCTAAGGGCAAATTATAGACTGTAAAGGCAAAAGGCTAGCTAGTGTAAACTGTGTAATTTGCTCGATCATTAGCTACGTTGCTTTTAAAGATCTAATTTCTTTGCATTATTTCATTTTTTTTTTTACTGAGTTGTTATGAAGTATATATATCTTATAAATAAGATCTTGGGAAAGAATTGGTATTCCGTGTCTTAAAAAAGTTGATATGAATCGAGTTAAATTTGGGGTTCAAATATATGATAAATTGATATTATTCTTAGTGATAAACATATATATGAATACTGATTTTTGCATAAATTCTCAAGTTAATTGGAATTCTTTTCTTGCAGACACTTAGCGTGCCATATATGAAGTCGACATCTCGCAATAAAACCTGCAGATCCAAGCAAGGGGTAAGAAAAAGAAACCAAAAATGACAATTAATTAACTTTATTTCATTAGATTTGCAACTAGTAATTAATCTAACATATTTTTATCAGGTAGTAATTAATTTAACTACTTAATTTGCATGACTTATGTCCATCATTTTTCTAAGACCATATATATAACTAGGAAAGAAATTGAGGGCACAGAGTAGATATCATCAGCTACGTACGTACTACATGCATTTTTCAGAAAAGTATTCAAAGAATTTTGGAAAATAGAATTTAACATCAGTCACTTCCAACTATGACATATGTTAGGGCACAACAATGGAGGAAGGAAGCGAGGAGGGGAGGCGAGATCTCAGAAGCCGAGGTCTATGTCTGGTGCCATTATCATTCATGTCTTATGTAACAGGTGACGGCGGCGGAGGCATTTGGCCACCACCTAACTTCGGAGGAGGAACTTGATTACCAGCTGGCTAGGTTTTGAAATCAATATATAACATCATTACAACAATCACTAAACAGTAAACAACATTGATTAATTTCTCGCTTGAATTCTAATGGAGCAAATTTGGTCATCGATAGCATTCAAGCAGGATGGACCAAATTTGATCCATATCACAATTAATGTACGGTGTAATGGAGTACTTTTCATAAATTATTCTTCCTCCGTGTTGTCTTTTCTTCCTGTATATCAAAAAAGTTAACTATTTGGCTCTTCGTCTCGTCTTTTATAATTATTTGTCTTTTTCTTTTTGGGTATCAATTTTCTACAAATATTTACTAATTATTTTTTCTAAACCTTTAATAACAAGTTTAAATAATTCATTAGTAATTTTTTTCTTTTAAAAATAAGAGATATAAATCACATGATATATAAATGAAGTAATTTAAAAAATAAAAAAAATTATTTTTTATTGTATAATTTAAAATTAAAAAAAAAAATTGAGACCTTTCACAAGGGCACTAGTATGATAGAGGTAGAAGAGGATGGGCTGAGGCCCACAACAATGCGAAATGAGTTTAGAAGGTAGTACTGTGGTAGTGTCATAAAATATTAAATGGGCTGGATAATTCATTTGGGCCAGAAAGAAATACGTTCATTCGTTGTTCATCACTCTTTTGGGCCAATCTTTGTTCGCCCAATTCAAATTGAAGAACAGAAAGGTAATATCATAGAGAAATAATTTAAGAATAAATTTTTTATATTATTTTTTATGTAACCTTAAGTCTCATTTAAATAATTAAATTTTTTTATTTTTTTAAAATTTATGATATTAAATATATTTATTTATTTAAAAATTATTAAAAAAATATATAAAAAAATAATACCAAAAATTATTTTTATATCACCGCTCAATCTAATAACTTTGGATTGTTTTTCTTCCCCAAAAAAACCGCGTTCAGCAGTCGGCGTCGGCGAGAGGGATAGATGTCATTGTCATCTCGTCGGATAGTTACTACGTAGTTCAACAAATATCTGATATCTCTTGCGAGGATAATTATTGAGGGGCTATTCGGCGGTTCGGTACCTCAAACTCAAACCGAACTTAGATTCTTTCTGTTTTTGTGTTTATTACCATAATTGGTCCCTGGATTTACAAATTTAAATTCATTTTAGTCCCTCAACTTTTACCTATTAGTGCTTGGCATATTTCTAGTTAGAGTTTAGTATTAAAGTTTTAGGGCAAAAACTTTAAATTTTGAAGAGTATAGACTTAACAATTTAAGATTTGGGATTTAATTTGTTATAGTTTAGGACTAAATATTTAAAGAATAGGATTCATATTAGAGTTAAAGGGTTAGTAATTAAGATTTAGGCTATAGTTGTGAGTGTTTTACATAAAACTTTTTCCTATATCATTATATTCAAAAATGTAAATTTATTATATATAATTAATTTTAATATATTATATATATATTTTGAATAGGGAGAAATGAGAAGGGGGGAGAAGGGGGGAGAAAGGGGGTTACACACTGCAGTTTTAAATTCTAACCGAAACCATGAGTTTAAGTAACACTCGATCAAAGCAGTTGAAACTGCGAGTGCAATATATATTTTATATATTTTTATATAAAATATAAAAATATTTATTGTCACAATACAATTTAACACTCTTAAATGAAGTCTTCATATTTAGTAAAGAATGTTGAGCTTCACGGATCATACTATTAAAGTTTAAAATTCAACATTTAAGACCTAGGAATTAATAATTTAAGAATGAAAAGTTAAAAAATGTTAATAAAAATTATTGAACTAAAGTAAATTTTTAAAAAAATGCAAAATGCAATCCTCGTGAGCCACACCTAACCGAAATTAGCAGTAGCACATGCAACCACTTTTTCTTGTACGGTACTCCAAACCCTCATTATTTCATGATTTTCTAATTTCCTTGGATTCTCTTATCAAGAAAAAATTTAATTTTTTTAAAGAGCAAAATTAGCCCTTAATTACTCTTGTGTTTGTAACACTACCCTTGTGGTACATTCTTTCCATCCCGCAGACATTTTTCCTTCGATAATTTGTTTTAATTTCACAGAAATTGGCCAATTTGTAGTGGCCAAATTTCCCAGAAATAGAGAAAGGTAAAGCCTTATCCAGATCACCCGAGTGAATCACAATACACGTGGCAGTTAGATGGGCATCTTGATATTTTTTAGCCGCCGGCGCATCAGTTGAGTTGTCAGATTATATGTCCATGTCACCCTGCGTGACATGTAATAGAAGGTCGGTATCCATTTTCATCATCCTCCTCAAATGTCATTTCTGTCCTCCTCCCATGCATGCCTTATTCTACTGTTTAATATGATTTTACATCGTGCATTTATTAAAAAATAATAATTTATTTATTTTTATTTTAAATATAATATTAAAATTTTTATT